GAGCTACTTGTTGGGGGATTGTTTTCAGTAATTCACTATGGTATTCTGGTACGAAAGAAGCATATCTTCTTAAAATGCTAGCGGAATTTCCTTCCTTTTCGACGACCACTTTTTCGTGAAAACATTGTACTATTTTGTCCGATAAGAGTCTACATTGATCAGTAATTCCAAACCTATGTTTGTCAATAACAAGAAGATCTTCATCTTCTGGGATCTCCATAATGATGCATTCCATGTCGTTTATGATTTGTCTACACTTGTAGAACTGATTATCATGCATTTACACCGTAAAATTATTTAATTTTTCATTAATTTCACAAATATCAGACAGGGCTTTTACAATAATACTAACAGTATTCAATATTTGTATATGTTCTGTTAATTTCTCGTTAGCTTTACTTACACCATTCTTTGTAGCACTTTCGGCATTTTTTGACAACTTTTTAATTTCTTCTTGGAGGTTTCGGGTTTCGTTTAGCAGATTCTTATTCACTACAGGATGTGCTGCGTCGATTTGTTTGATGTAAACATTTTCTGTGTATTTTACGATCTTGATCTTTAAGTTATCGACCATTTGTTTCAATTTGGGAACTTTTTGATTAATTTCGCTAATTTCGATCGTTTCTGCCGAATATAAAACTTCAGCTAGAAAGTTCATTTTTACAATTTGAAATTTGACCAGGGGGTCAATTCTCGACTTGTAGGAACCTTTTCCTATAGGAATTTGTGACACTTTCCTACATGTAGACAAATGTCATAAATTTCCGATGTGTAGAAAAATGTCAAAAATTCCTATTGTTGAATAGAGCTACTTGTTGGGGGATTGTTTTCAGTAATTCACTATGGTATTCTGGTACGAAAGAAGCATATCTTCTTAAAATGCTCTGACACGTCATTACCAGCCTAAAAGTGTACTTGTTTGATACTTCGACAGCTTGTTGGAGAAGTTTTTTGCAATAATCAAGCAATTCAATCACAGATATCGAAATTGAACATTGAGAAAAGTACTTAATTTCTGCATCTATCGAGTTTTCAGGGTCATATTTTTAATATTAAACTGTGATGTTAAAATAGTTCTATCATCATCTAATTTTTCAAGTGAAAACCAAAATTTTCACACATTTATTCATTGATAAAAAACGTAAAACTCTTCTCTTTATCCATTCTCTTACTTCTCACCTTTCGTCGCCTCGCCTCGCGTCTAGAAATAGAATGTCGTAAGTCCACATTTTATTAAAAATGGGTTTTCGGTTACATCTAGATAAGAATAAAAATAAAACCATAATTTGCTGGAAAATAAATAGTAAAATTCAAATTAAATACTAATATGACGCGTAGAACTGTCAATAATAAAATTCATGACTATCTGCGATGCGGGCGTGGTATTCACAGCCATTGGTCAGTAATTATCAAGTTTTTTTGCAATAATCAAGCAATTCAATCACAGATATCGAAATTGAACATTGAGAAAAGTACTTAATTTCTGCATCTATCGGGTTTTCAGGGTCACTTCTAGGTCACTTCTATCAAATCATGTAAATTTTTCTTCATTATCATCTGGGATTTTAACAAATATTCCCGACATTTTTTATCGAAATAATGGAAGTCTATTTTATTTACAAATTCTTGTAATGATGCAGTTTGTGGAGAAAATATTTTAGTTTTACATTTCGTACAACCATTTTTAACAAAGATGCAGCCACTAAAAAAATCGCAAAAATCGAGATTTTTTTGATCCCTTAATTTTTTCCACTAATGTAATAAGATTAATGTTATTGCTAATGTTCTTGCAAGTATTAATAAAATTCGTATTATTCAGTTATCTGATTTTTGCCACCGTATTATCAATTTACTTCCTAGTTAGTATTATTTTTTTTTAAGGTGCTGATTGATACTGGTACTGAAGTAACAAAATGTATAACTCTTTTATCATTGGATGGTTTTAATCAATATGCTAACACAGGTTTCAAAACTACATTTTTTTCAGTAAGGTTTTTGATTTCTATTGGATTATTTAAAAACGATTCTTTATTATTTATATTTATTTTATTTACAAATTCTTGTAATGATGCAGTTTGTGGAGAAAATATTTTAGTTTCCCTCAAAACTGATTCTAACTTAACTGTATCTTGGATAACTTCTTTGTAATTCTGCAGTCCTTCTACTGTTGAAGATATGGTATCCTATTTGTAGGAAAATGTCATAAATTTTCGATGTATGTAAAAATGTCAAAAATTCCTATAGGAAAATATTCCTACGAGTGGAGAATCGACCCCCACGGGGTCAATTCTGGACTCGTAGGAATTTTTTCCTATAGGAATTGTTGACATTTTTCCGCTAGCATTTTAAGAAGATATGCTTCTTTCGTACCAGAATACCATAGTGAATTACTGAAAACAATCCCCCAACAAGTAGCTCTATTCAACAATAACTGTTTCTACATCAGTTATAATTTGACCAAGTGAAAGGGCGATTACATATTAAAAATGCCTTCAAAATTGAATGTATTCAATAACGTGTTCGATGCAGAAGTTAGTATATTGAGATTAGCGGGCTCAGAGACTTTTAGAGCTTACCTTAAGAGCCAGATAAAAGAAATTAATGAAATAATGAAGAACAGTGGCCTGGATGCTGTTACACTTGAAGGGGAATTGAAACTTGTAACCAAAAAATCTATACAACAGTGTTTAAAGCAGCAAGAAATGTTAAAGACAGTGTGGCACAAAGTATTACCCTATCAGATATATAACAAAACACTAGGCATCTTTCTAAATACTTTATGTGCCTGTCTAATAACCTCTATTATTAATTTCAAAGATATTTCTTCCAAAGCAGCTGAACAATTAGAGGAAATCATTGAAATGATTATTAGTCGGGGGCCTGAGTTATTCACTGACCCTAAAAAGGTTAATTTGTATGTAAAATGTTGGTGCAAATTGAACGAGTTGAATTTTGTGTTGGGTGCCAGTTTGCTGGATATCAATGACAGGTGGGCCAATGGTAAAGGATCTTTGGCCTTGCAGTTCAATTCTGTGGAGTTGAAAATGATGATAAGAGCTTTGTTTTCAGATTCTGATAAAAGATATGCTCCTTATTTTCTTAAAGAGATCTCTGCAAATGAATTGCTTGTTTATTTGAGGATATGCACTGCTAGAACCCTCGAATTTTTAACGCAAAATTAATTTTTCTTATAAACCAAGTAATTGTTATAGGTTTAAGTAAGTTCTCAATGGAAAAGAATTAAATTGGATTTTTTTTTTGATATTTCACTATCTTTTTTGTCAAATCATATTTTTACGTTCAATGAGTAACAAATAATTTAATATAATATAGTAATTTCTAAGAAGGATAAAATAATAACGAAAAGAATCGTTTTTAAATAATCCAATAGAAATCAAAAACCTTACTGAAAAAAATGTAGTTTTGAAACCTGTGTTAGCATATTGATTAAAATATACATTTTGTTACTTCAGTACCAGTATCAATCAGCACCTTAAAAAAAATAATACTAACTAGGAAGTAAATTGATAATACGGTGGCAAAAATCAGATAACTGAATAATACGAATTTTATTAATACTTGCAAGAACATTAGCAATAACATTAATCTTATTACATTAGTGGAAAAAATGAAGGGATCAAAAAAATCTCGATTTTTGCGATTTTTCTAGTGGCTGCATCTTTGTTAAAAATGGTTGTACGAAATGTAAAACTAAAATATTTTCTCCACAAACTGCATCATTACAAGAATTTGTAAATAAAATAGACTTCCATTATTTCGATAAAAAATGTCGGGAATATTTGTTAAAATCCCAGATGATAATGAAGAAAAATTTACATGATTTGATAGAAGTGACCTAGAAGTGACCCTGAAAACTCGATAGATGCAGAAATTAAGTACTTTTCTCAATGTTCAATTTCGATATCTGTGATTGAATTGCTTGATTATTGCAAAAAAACTTGATAATTACTGACCAATGGCTGTGAATACCACGCCCTCATCGCAGATAGTCATGAATTTTATTATTGACAGTTCTACGCGTCATATTAGTATTTAATTTGAATTTTACTATTTATTTTCCAGCAAATTATGGTTTTATTTTTATTCTTATCTAGATGTAACCGAAAACCCATTTTTAATAAAATGTGGACTTACGACATTCTATTTCTAGACGCGAGGCGAGGCGACGAAAGGTGAGAAGTAAGAGAATGGATAAAGAGAAGAGTTTTACGTTTTTTATCAATGAATAAATGTGTGAAAATTTTGGTTTTCACTTGAAAAATAATACAAGAACACCAACAATAACATTATTCTTATTATTTTTCAGAAATAATGTTACATCACTTTTATCTCCATACCTCAAAATACGAATAAATACTTGTAATAAAGCACTAGTCGAGTGGGAAGGCAGAAGGCATTCAAATAATCTTAAATTGTATAAAATAGCTTGCAGCAAATGTCAAAATAATTTAAAAACGTTAGAATATTCTAATCTAAAACAAAACTTTTATTTCTATCAACCACAAATCGATTTAAATCAACATTAATTCAAAATTAAATACTTTTTAAACAAGAACCATCATTGATTGAAAGACATATCGACACTGCCTGCATTTGTAAACGGATTTTATTTTTAGAAATATATTTTCGTGTAACTAGGATGTGACAAAATTATAAATTAATGAAACTTATTTAAAAGAAAACATTCAAATTTTGATACAAAAAGAAATAATTTATTCTACTAATCAATATACGAATTTTATGCCCTTTTAATTACACTTTAACGCAGATTATTGGCTTTTTAAAATATATATGTATATACATAATATATAAAATATTATGTATATTATTTAATATAAAGCGTACATTTTTTTATATTGGAATAATAATTAAAATTTAGCATTTATAACTATATTTTAATAAATATACGACAAACGAAACTTTAAAAATATGATTAGTTTTAGAAGTGTAACATTTTTAATTCACTTACAAAAAAATACTCTTTCCAGATTTAAAATTAAACGAAATATATTGAAAAAAAAAAGGTGCCCATTTTATTATGCTTTACAATAAATATATCATATACATGTTTAAATATACTTTACTTAATAATTATTTAATATTTTTGTAATTTATGTGGCTAACATTTTAGTGAAGGTGCAAATCGAGTTATATATTGATGGTTTTTATTCAATAGAATCATCAAACTTTTTAATAATAAAATTTTTGTTAATTTTTAACTACTTTTTTTGTCAAGTCATAATTTTTACATTTAATGAGTAACGGTTACCGAAACCACCAATTTTTAATAAAGGAAAATATCAAATGCAACAAAAATGTAACTATTTTCTTTTATTATCGATGTGTCAAGATTATTACGTTTAATGAGTAACGATTAATTTAATCTAACAAATTTCAAATCTTTCTAAGATAAAATAATAAAGAAAAGAAGAATCATATACTAAAAAAATGTAGTTTCGTAAAAACCATTGATTAAAACCACCCAAATCTACACCTCAAATTATGAAAAATTCTTAACATTTTGTTACTTCAGAACCACTATCAATGAGCACCTTTAAAAAAAATACTAACTATGAAATAAATTGAGGATACGGCGGCAAAAACCAGATAAGTGCATAATAAATACGAACTTAAAACTTTATTAATACTTACAATAACAGTAATCTTTAATACTTTTGCAGAAATAACGTTTTTGTCATCACTAATACGGCTTTTATCTCCATATACCTCAAAATACGAATAAATACTTGTTAATATACTCTAAAGCACTAGTTGAGTGGAAGGCAGAAGATATTCTGAAGGATAGACTTGGCCTGTGGCCGTACGTCAACTTGTAGGTATCCGTTCCCATCGGGCGCATCGAATTCCCCCGGAGGCGGAGGTGGAGGCAACATCGGTGGTGGGTACCGATGCACGATGGCGGGCGGTGGAGGTGGTGGTAGATTGGAGGGATGTAGAGCGCAGAGGACGTTATGTCACACACAATCTTCCAACGACATGAGCAACGGATTCACGTATTCGAAGCCTTCGAATTCGGATTGATCGATTTTTTCGATTACACGACTAAAATTTAAAATAACATTCACAGGTGAATTTTGTAATAAATCCCATAAAATAAAGTAATACTATCACACTGTCACATGTAATTAATCGTTCTCTTTAATCCTCATTTGCATATAAATTTGTAATATTATAAACAAAGCCATTTAAATTAACAATATACAATAGAAAAAAAAAATTATTATTCCAATTTTCCCATATTAATTTAAAGTATTTGGTCACAATTCAGTCTAATTATTTTAATTTAAAAAAAAAACATGTCTTGTTTAGTGGTTTTTAAGAAATAAAGTTACAATTTTGAGAAAATCAAAATTAAAATCATAAATTTTTAGAAAAATAGTCATAGATTTTAATAATATGTCAATATTAAAAAAATCTACATTTTTATAAAACAATGTCTAAGATTTTGAGAAAAATAGTCAATTTTAGAAAAATTGTCATATATCATAAAAAAATGTCAATTTTAAAAAATTGACATTTTGAAACAACTAAATTTTAAAAAAGTAATAATTATTAGAAAGTCAGATTTTGAAAAAATAAATAAATATGTTAATATCAAAAAAGTCAACATTTTTAAAAAAGAATAATTTTTTTAATAAAAAAACAGACTTTAAAATCGTGCAGATGCCCTCAAAAAGGTGAGGATTTTCTCAAGGACCAAATTATTAAATTTTGACCAAATTTATATGGGACCACCCTTGAAGTACCCCCTTTCTAACAAAAAAAGAATCATTGAAATCGGACAAGGTGGTAAAAAATTATCGCTAAACATACATAAAAAAAAATTTTAAAAATACTAAAAAAAATTGAAAACCTCCTCTTTTTTTGAAGTCGGTTAAAAATAGTCAGAAACTTTAGAAAAAATAAAAAAAACTAAGAAAATAGTGTCAACATTGTCAAAACGTAAAAATCAAGTCAAAATTTTAAAAAATAAACTACAATTTTAAAAAATTCAGAATTTACAAAAAAAATAGTAATAATTTTTATAAAGTCAGATTTTAGAAAAAAATTTAAATGTCAATATCAAAAAGTAACCATTTTTAAAAACAAAATAAAAAAGAAAATAACGTCGAACTCAAAATTTTGAGAAAAACAGCGAGATATTTTAGTCATAGATTTAAGAAAAAATAAAAATATTGAGAAAATAATGTCAATATTGTTAGAAAATAAAGTTGAAGCCAAAATTTTAAAAAACAAAGTTACAATTTTGAGAAAATAATAATTTTAAGAAAAATAGTCATTTTTTTTAGAAAATAGTATCAACATTCTGAGAAAATTAAAATTTAACTTAGATTTTTAGAAAAACAGTCATACAATTTAGGAAATAAAGTTACAATTTTGAAAAAATCGAAATTTTACGAAAAATATTCAATTTTAAAAATTTTGCCACAGAAAAAAACAAAAATAACAGAAAGTCGAAGTCAAAATTATGAAAAATACAAATATAATTTTGAGAAAATCAAAATTTTAAGAAAAATAGTCATAATTTTTATAAAATAATATTTTGAAGACAAAACACATATTTAAAAAAGTTTTAAATGAAAATTTACTGCTTTCTTATCTTCCACTGTAACCTTGCACTTATCTTGCCAGTATAGCCTGCTTAAAACTAAGTTACCATGGCGCCCAACATGTAGATGATCAAAATTTGTTTGCTATGCTCTATCTAGAATGTCCGAGATCTATGATGTCAACGCAACGATCGTTACCGAAAAACATTTCTATTATTATTTTTGAGATTATGTTGTTTGTTTTTCAAGCATAAAGGAAATTTTGAGGTTATGTTGTTTGTTTTTTAAGTATAAAAGAATTTTTGAAGTTATTTTGTTTGTTTACTTATAATTTTAAACAATAATTTAAATTTACGATTATAATTAATATTTTTTGTTTCTGATCCAGTATCTAACAATAAATAATTTTTTTTTGTTACCTACAAAACACAAACAGTTTCAAATACAGAGTTTTAATTAAATCCGAGTGTGTACTTTATTAAATTGACTTTTATTTAAAACGGTGCCCTTTTTTCAAAAAAAAAATATTACTTACGGATCGTCAGGTGTAAGATGCACCGGTTCGTCAGTAAATTCCGGTGGGAAATTGGCCAAATCTCTCTCCGAATCCAAACGTGGTTTATAAGGAGGAGGAACTTGCTTTTGTTCCAACTAAAAATAATTATTTAATATTACAATGAACAATAATTTTAAAAAGTTGTGTTATGGGTAATAATTTACCAGCTGAAAAGAGATTGTACAGTATATTAAATTAACTAAAATAATCTAGAGTAATATAAGAGAGTCTCCAGTGGTTTTTAAGTGAAATTCATATGTCGTTTTATAGTAAATAATATTGTATTAATGTTTAGTGCTGTAAAAAATTGAATAATTCACTATATTATAAGGGATGTCCTTTCTAATTCATTTTTTTTATATTTTTATATTTAATATAACATTGTTGTACTCACCATATCCCAATCGATGCTCTTAAAGAACTGATGACTGGTTATTTCAACGAAAGCTTCCGGACTGTGACATCCCAACCTATCGGCCGGATTTTTATTTAGAAAACCTTTCAGAACGTTCGCCGCCTTAACGCTAAGCGACCTAGGAATACGAATAGTTTTTTCCAATATTACTTGGAATAGATAATCCTCCGTGTTTTGATCGGGGTTTTCCGAAGCACCCGCTATATCAAATGGCGACCTACCGGCCAACATTTCATATAACAGGACGCCTAAAATGTGCAAAAATAGTTTCGTTTTAACAAAATGGTAAATATTACAAGATAAAACGCATACATAAATATAAATACACTCTATTTTAGGTTAGAAACGTAAAAAGAAGAAATATTAAACATACACGAGTAAATCGCATTTTCTAAAAGTACTTTCTTACCTAGCGCCCACCAATCGACGGAAAATCCATAATCTTCGCCTCTCAAAATTTCTGGAGCGATATAATTTGGCGTACCACAAAAAGTCGAAGTCGTATCGCCCGGCCTGATTCCTTCTTTGCACATACCGTAATCAGTCAATTTGATATGACCTTCGTGGTCCAAAAGGACATTATCCAACTTCAGATCTCTGTAGATGATTCCTTTGCAATGTAAAAAGTTTAATGCTAGTGAAATTTCAGCAGCATAAAACCTAAAACCACCAAAAATTGAATCACAGTAATTATTTTCGCAAGAAAACACTTTGCTATTATGTGCTGTGACTTGCAAATGAAAACAAATGAAAATAAAGACGAAATTGTTGAGAAAACAGATGAAAATGTACAAGAAGTACTTCAAAACACTTAATCATCAACTACTGTATCAAAAACTTTTTTATAGACATTATAGGTAACGAATGTAAAATTCTTATTTGATACTGGTAGTCAAAAGTTTTATGTAACAGCAAAATGTGCAGAAATAAATTTATTAAAATTCGGAAAAGACCATAATATCTTCTGCATAAGAAAAACTTGAAAAATATTGTGAGAGAATAAAGTTGCAAGTCAACATTTTAAAAAATAAAGATACAATTTTGAAAAAAATCAAAATTTTAAGAAAAAACTATAAAATTTTATCGAATTTAAAAAATATACCCGTTGTTTTCGCTATATAAATATATTTATTACTATCTTCTACTAACCTTGCATGTTCTTCAGGCAACCGCCTCTGCCTCTGCATGTGGAACATCAAATCGCCACCTCGAACGAACTCAATCACAAAGAACAACCTAGAAGGCGTTTGAAAACAGGAATGCAAACCGACCAAAAAAGGATGATTAGAGGCCGTTTCGAAAACATGTTTTTCAGTTTGCACCCAATCGATATCTTCGTCGTCAGTTACCAAAGCCTTTTTAATCACTTTCATGGCGTAAATACGTTTGGTTTTCTTCAGTTCCACCATGAGAACCTTCGCGTACGATCCTCGTCCGATTACGCGAATCAATTCAAAGTCGTTGAGGGAGTATTGACGTTGAGAACCCGGATCGAGGTCGTCAACTGGCTTGTTTGGATCTTCAACAGGAACAGATTCACCTGGAAATTGCAGAATATATCGTTGATATACAAGAGAAGGTGAGTAAATCCAAAAGTTAACATTTTTTAGTTTGTAATGCTTCAATACACCAACTTGTATCAGAAACTCCGCTATAAACATTATAAGTAATAAATGTAAAATTGTTATTAGATACCGGTAGTCAAAGGTTTTACATAACAACAAAATGTGCAGAGAAAATTAATTTCCTAAATTCAATATTATTTATATAATATTCCATAATGAACAAGATTTGATTTTATAATCATAAACAAATTAAAATTCTAATGTTTCTAAGTTTTAGAGAAATTCAAGCAAAGGAGGAGAAATTATTTATTTTTAATTTTTTATAAAATTGTCGCAGGTCCCGATCTGTAGAATTGTCCTGGGGCCCGACCTGGCTCTCGACGGCCCTAACTGGAATAGTTTTACCTTCTTTGGAACATCCATTCAATTAAATAAAAATCAACAAGAAACATAAACTCACCAGTGACATCTGGAGGCGGTTGCGAGAAGTCTCTTTCTCGAATATCCGACTTGATTTCGGTGTTCGGCGTGTTGATGCCAGTTTCGCCATTATGTTCTTCTCTAATTATAGATTCTTGGTGTTCGCTGGTGCAAGGTTTGTTGACCGCTTTGTGGCACTTCTTGTGAACGAGCAATTTGCATTGGATACATTTGAAACCTTGTCGACCTAAACCCCAGATTCTATCGTTGCAATATGCGCAAAAAGCTCTCTGCAAACAATCGAAGGTTTAAATAGAATATTAATTGAATGTGTGTTGGTAAAGTTTATTTTATAGATTTTTATAGGTTTTTATAGGTTTTTATAGGTTTTTTATAGGTTTTTATAGGTTTTTTATAGGTTTTTATAGGTTTTTATAGGTTTTTATAGGGTTTTATAGGTTTTTTTATAGGTTTTTATAGATTTTTTATAGGTTTTTATAGGTTTTTATAGGTTTTTATAGGTTTTTATAGGTTTTTATAGGTTTTTATATGTTTTTATAGGTTTTTATAGGTTTTTATTAGGTTTTTATAGGTTTTATAGGTTTTTATAGATTTTTTATAGACTTTAATGGATTTGTATAGATTTTTAATTAATTATTAATAGATTTTAATAGATTTTTGTAAATTTCTTTAGATTTTTATGAATTTGTATAGATTTTTAATTGATTATTAATAGATTTTAATAGATTTTTATAAATTTCTATAGATTTTTATAGAATTTTATGGATTTGTATAGATTTTTAATTGATTATTAATAGATTTTTATGGATTTGTATGAATTTTTGTAGATTTTTATAGATTTTTATAGATTTTTTTTAGTTTTTTTTTTATTTTAATCCGTTTTTAAATACTTATAGATGTTTATAGATTTTTATACATTTTTATAGATTTTATAAATTTAAAGTTTATTTTATAGAATTTTAGATTTTTTATAATTTTTTATAGTTTTTTTTGTAGATTTTTATAAATTTTTAGATTTTTTATAGATTTTTAGTTTTTTTATATTTTAATTCCGTTTTTTAAAGACTTTTATAGATGTTAATAGGTTTTTTATGGATTTTTTATAGTTTTTTATACGTTTTTATAGATGTTTATAGGTTTTTTTTATAGATTCTTAATTTTTTATAGTTTATTTCTAGTTTTTTTCTATAGATTTTTATGGATTTGTATGGGTTTGTATGGATTTTTAATAGATTATTAATAGATTAGATTATTAATAAATTTTAATAGATTTTTATAAATTTCTATAGATTTTTATAGAATTTTATGGATTTGTATAGATTTTTAATTGATTATTAATAAATTTTAACAGATTTTCATAAATTTCTATAGATTTTTATAGAATTTTATGGATTTGTATAGATTTTTAATTGATTATTAATAGATTTTTATGGATTTGTATGAATTTTTGTAGATTTTTATAGGTTTTTATAGATTTTTATAGATTTTTTTTAGTTTTTTTTTTATTTTAATCCGTTTTTAAATACTTATAGATGTTTATAGATTTTTATACGTTTTTATAGATTTTATAAATTTAAAGTTTATTTTATAGAATTTTAGATTTTTTATGGCTTTTTATAATTTTTTATAGTTTTTTTTGTAATTATTATAGATTTTTATAAATTTTTAGATTTTTTTTATAGATTTTTAGTTTTTTTTATATTTTAATCCGTTTTTAAAGACTTTTATAAATGTTAATAGTTTTTTTATGGATTTTTTTATAGTTTTTTATACGTTTTTATAGATGTTTATAGGTTTTTATAGTTTTTTTTTATAGATTTTTATAGATTTTTATAGATTTTTTATAGATTTTTATAGATTTTTATAGATTCTTATAGATTTTTATAGACTTTAATGGATTTGTATAGATTTTTAATTAATTATTAATAGATTTTAATAGATTTTTTATAAATTTCTATAGATTTTTATAGAATTTTATGGATTTGTATAGATTTTTAATAGATTTTTATAAATTTCTTTAGATTTTTATGAATTTGTATAGATTTTTAATTGATTATTAATAGATTTTAATAGATTTTTAATTGATTATTAATAGATTTTAATAGATTTTTATAGATTTTTATAAATTTCTATAGATTTTTATAGATTTTTATAGATTTTTATAGATTTTTATAAATTTCTATAGATTTTTATAGAATTTTATGGATTTGTATAGATTTTTTATTGATTATTAATAGATTTTTATGAATTTGTATGAATTTTTGTAGATTTTTATAGATTTTTATAGATTTTTATAGATTTTTATAGGTTTTTATAGATTTTTTTTTAGAGATTTTTAGTTTTTTTTTTATTTTAATCCGTTTTTAAATACTTATATATGTTTATAGATTTTTTATAGATTTTTATACGTTTTTATAGATTTTATAAATTTAAAGTTTATTTTATAGAATTTTAGATTTTTTTATGGTTTTTTATAATTTTTTATAGTTTTTTTTGTAGATTTTTATAGATTTTTATGAATTTTTAGATTTTTAGTTTTTTTATATTTTAATCCGTTTTTAAAGACTTTTATGATTGTTAATAGGTTTTTTTATGGATTTTTTTATAGTTTTTTATACGTTTTTATAGATGTTTATAGGTTTTTATAGTTTTTTTTTTATAGATTTTTATAGATTTTTATAGATTTTTTATAGATTTTTATAGATTTTTATAGATTCTTATAGATTTTTATAGACTTTAATGGATTTGTATAGATTTTTAATTAATTATTAATAGATTTTAATAGATTTTTTATAAATTTCTATAGATTTTTATAGAATTTTATGGATTTGTATAGATTTTTAATTGATTATTAATAGATTTTTATAAATTTCTTTAGATTTTTATGAATTTGTATAGATTTTTAATTGATTATTAATAGATTTTAATAGATTTTTAATTGATTATTAATAGATTTTAATAGATTTTTATAGATTTTTATAAAATTTCTATAGATTTTTATAGATTTTTATAAATTTCTATAGATTTTTATAGAATTTTATGGATTTGTATAGATTTTTTATTGATTATTAATAGATTTTTATGAATTTGTATGAATTTTTGTAGATTTTTATAGATTTTTATAGATTTTTATAAATTTCTATAGATTTTTATAGAATTTTATGGATTTGTATAGATTTTTTATTGATTATTAATAGATTTTTATGAATTTGTATGAATTTTTGTAGATTTTTATAGATTTTTATAGATTTTTATAGATTTTTATAGATTTTTATAGATTTTTATAGGTTTTTATAGATTTTTTTTTTAGAGATTTTTAGTTTTTTTTTTATTTTAATCCGTTTTTAAATACTTATATATGTTTATAGATTTTTTATAGATTTTTATACGTTTTTATAGATTTTATAAATTTAAAGTTTATTTTATAGAATTTTAGATTTTTTTATGGCTTTTTATAATTTTTTATAGTTTTTTTGTAATTATTATAGATTTTTATAAATTTTTAGATTTTTTTTATAGATTTTTAGTTTTTTTATATTTTAATCCGTTTTTAAAGACTTTTATAAATGTTAATAGTTTTTTTATGGATTTTTTTATAGTTTTTTATACGTTTTTATAGATGTTTATAGGTTTTTATAGTTTTTTTTTTATAGATTTTTATAGGTTTTTATAGATTTTTATAGATTTTTTATAGATTTTTATAGATTCTTATAGATTTTTATAGACTTTAATGGATTTGTCTAGATTTTTAATTAATTATTAATAGATTTTAATAGATTTTTTATAAATTTCTATAGATTTTTATAGAATTTTATGGATTTGTATAGATTTTTAATTGATTATTAATAGATTTTTATAAATTTCTTTAGATTTTTATGAATTTGTATAGATTTTTAATTGATTATTAATAGATTTTAATAGATTTTTAATTGATTATTAATAGACTTTAATAGATTTTTATAGATTTTTATAAATTTCTATAGATTTTTATAGATTTTTATAAATTTCTATAGATTTTTATAGAATTTTATGGATTTGTATAGATTTTTTATTGATTATTAATAGATTTTTATGAATTTGTATGAATTTTTGTAGATTTTTATAGATTTTTATAGATTTTTATGGATTTTTATAGATTTTTATAGGTTTTTATAGATTTTTTTTAGAGATTTTTAGTTTTTTTTTTATTTTAATCCGTTTTTAAATACTTATAGATGTTTATAGATTTTTATACGTTTTTATAGATTTTATAAATTTAAAGTTTATTTTATAGAATTTTAGATTTTTTTATGGCTTTTTATAATTTTTTATATTTTTTTTCGTAGATTTTTATAGATTTTTATAGATTTTTATAGATTTTTATAGATTTTTATAAATTTTTAGATTTTTTATAGATTTTTAGTTTTTTTATATTTTAATCCATTTTTAAAGACTTTTATAGATGTTAATAGGTTTTTTATGGATTTTTTATACGTTTTTATAGATGTTTATAGGTTTTTTTTATAGATTTTTAATTTTTTATAGTTTATTTCTAGTTTTTTTCTATAGATTTTATGGATTTGTATGGGTTTGTATGGATTTTTAATAGATTATTAATAGATTAGATTATTAATAAATTTTAATAGATTTTTATAAATTTCTATAGATTTTTATAATTTTAATAAATTTTTCTAGATTTTTATGGATTTTTATGAATTTTTATGAATTTTTATGAATTTTTATGAATTTTTATGGATTTTTAAAGATTTTTATAAATTTTTATAGATTTTAAGTTCATTAAGACTCTTTATGAACTTCGTATTAAACTTCACTGTTTATTAAATGCAAGAAAGATAAAAATATCTTACCCTATTGAATCTTTTAGCCTGAAATATATGTCCGTTAACTCTGTAAAGCTTCCGCCATCGACGTGCTCCTCTTCTATAAATACTTCCTAAAAAATAGTATTTCATTTTGTATAATACATACAAACCTACATACAAAGTACTGTTTAGTATTTTTTATCTACTGCTTTAATTTTTATAAATGTATTAAAATTGAAGAATGCATATAAATGACTGGATTCGAAATTAATAATAATCTTCTTAATTCACCCCCTGATGAGTGAATTTTAACCCCAAAAGCTGAGCTTGTCCAGGAAAATGACGGTTATTATTATTAGCCTAGACGTATAATTACAATTATCATCTGAAACACCTCGTGAAAAAAAAATAAATAAATTATAAAACTGTTTTATATTTTTTTCAGCTTGATTCTACAGATTTTTTTTTAATTACTTCAATTATCTTTAATTTATAAAAATTAAATACCACTAAGTCGAATCTGAATAATTATAATATTCAAATGCAAGTCTGAATAATCGTAACCATTCTGAATATATAATATAATTATTAAATTTTGAATAGTTAAAGGAGGAAAAAATACTCACTGTCCTCGCCCTGACAGGGCATTCCTGGTTGCGAGGGCACATTCGGAAAAACTGCGGACAAAACAATACAAATTAGATCATTTTTTTCAGTTAATAATTTGAACATTTCTAACAAATGTATACAAGAAAAATTGTATAAACATATGCTGTATATTTTTTTGTTATTAAGAATTCTAAACCAGCACAAAATGGGATCATTATTTCTCATAACAATTATCAGCAAGATAAGATAATGATAAACCTTGTATAGAAAGAAAAAGTGTGATAAATAGCAGGTGAGCCATGGTTTATTGTCGATATATCTTTTGGATCAAAATTAAAGGTTTTGTTTTTAATTTGCTTTTCAATAAAATAAAATTGTTTTTTTTTTTTTTTACTTTTTTAAATTCCGTTAATGTCCCGAGGAAACAAAAAAAAATGGACACTTTTAAGGTAATCTGGGCTAACAAATTAGGTTAAATCAACAATTTTTGCAGTATTAACTTGGTGGGTATTGTCTATCAAATTTGTTCTGTAGAAAGTATAAAGAGCATGGTGGTACAGCCATATTTTTAAATAATATAAAATGTAGATGAATTTAATATTGAACAGTAAGTGATGTTTTCTGCTATAGAACTTATTTATAAAAATTTATAAATTTTGAAATAAGTAATGTTGAGACAAGTATTAGAAATTAAAAAAAAAACGACCTCAAAAACGTGCAGATGCCATCTTAACCAAATTTATATGGGACCACCCCTGAGGTACCCAACAAAAAAGAATCATATAAATCGGACAAGGTGGTAAAGCATTATCGCTAAACATACAGTTCATCAAATTTCTAGAGGCTTTCGACGGCTAGACAGAGAAAGCACTACTGACAGGCATCCCGACGGATTTACGCAATGAAAGTACACTCTGCGCATCAAGTATTTCACTATTTTATTCAGACGTAAATGTCAGATGTAAATTTCGCTAAAACATTTCTTTTATTTTCATTTGTGTTTTTTGCTCATTACAGTTTAATAGAACCTAAGTATGGAGTTTAATAGCAAATTAAGAGGCCGCGTGATTAACAGTCAATCTCGCGAAATAATAGCCAATGTTATAGAGTTTATGAGAAGAGAAGGAAACTTTAATTCACCTTCAATACCATTTAAAAATGTAAATGATCGTGTTGCTGCAGCCACAGGAGTATCTAAAAACACTGTCGTCCGCATTTCTGGAGAGAAAAAAAGAATCGATAACCGTGAGATATCGGAATTTTCATCACCAAGAAAAAACCATTAAAAAACCAAAAACAGTTAATGATATAGATGAAGCTGCACAAGAATCAAATTTTATTTTTTTATTATTAGATAGCTATTTTTGTTTCTGAGTTGTGTTCATTTACAGGCTCAATTTTTTTCCGTTTCTCCTTTTTGATTTTATATGGGGTTTCAAGTTGTTTTTGACTTATTTCGACGTAAATCACAACAACACACTTTTTTAATAAAGCAAACAAGTGTTAAGAGGTATATGTACGTGTAAACTACAATTACAAAAAATTGATATGAAACCCATGAAACCACCAACAAAAATGTAAAGCTAGCTTCCGTACTAGAACATGGTGTCATTCGTCGAGATAATTTATCGTTTTGTTTAATAGATCAAGAAATGTAAATATTCCCCTGTTATTTTTTATAAAATTATAAGAGAAATAAATTTTTTTCTAAATAGTATAGTTTATTATTTTGTAGAAAAACAAAATTTCGAAAATTTTAGTAATGTTTCAGAAACAACCGTTATTAATAATAGGTACCATTTTCCTTAATAAGGTAGAAATAAAATATAAACTATTTCCACGATTTACAAAGGCCTACAAAAAAATTATAGGTATTTTCCGCTATCCTATAAAATTTATATTTTCTGACTCAATTTCAAAAGGTTGAAGGAATTCCAAAACACCTTTTATGGCATAATAATTATTTTCAATTCTACATACTATCTTTAGCTGCTTTTAAAAACGTTCTAAGAAAGTCCAATCAGACCAATTTAATCCCTAAACTATTCCACACTTTTAAAATTTAATTACCTAAAAATATTAAAAACTATTTAAAATAACTTGTTTAGCAGACTGTACAATAGCTATCTTAGTCACACGTAGCGCGTTCTCTGTCTGAGCGTCGAACACCTCTAGAAATTTGATGAACTGTACAAGAAAAATGAAGGGTGAGGATTTTCTCATGGACCAAATTATTAGATTTTGACCAAATTAATATGTGACCACCCCTGAAGTACCCCCTTTCTAACAAAAAAAGAATCATTGAAATCGGACAAGGTTGTAAAGAATTATCGCTGAACATACATAAAAAAAAATAAAAAATAAATAATCCGACGAATTAAAAACCTCCTCCTTTTTTGAAGTCTGTTGAAAATAGTCATAAACTTTAGAAAAAATAAAAAAAATTAAGAAAAACTGTCAACATTGTCAAAACGTAAAAATGAAGTCAAAATTTAAAAAAATAATTTTGAAATATTCAGAACTTATATATAAAAAAAAAAATAGTAATAATTTTTATAGTCAGATTTTAGAAAAAATAAAAATGTCAATATGAAAAAGTCAACATTTTTAAAAAACAAAATCAAAATTTTGAGAAAAACAGTGATATTTTAGAAAAACTATAAAATCTTAAGAAAATAACGTCAATATTGTTAGAAAATAAAGTTGAAGCCAAAATTTTAAGAAACGAAGTTACAATTTTGAAAAAAATTAAAATTTTAAGAAAAATAGTCACTATTTTTAGGAAATAGTGTCAACATTCTGAGAAAATCAAAAATATTGCGACGAATTGAGAACCTCCTCCTTTTTTGAAGTCGGTTAAAAATACTTTAGAGTTTGAGTTTGACAAGTCGAAACATTTCCATTTTTCATGAATAATTTGTTTACTTACGAATTAATTACTTTACAGTATACAGGATGTTAGAAAAAAAGAAGAAATTGTAAAGATACCATAGTTTGCTGAATAAAAGAAAGATAGAGGAAGAACTGGAAAACCATGTCAAAATTCTCATTTTTTTTTTACAAAACCCGAGTCTACGTTGCCAAATATTAATAACAACAATAATACAGCTGAATCCAAATATTCTGAACCTGTACTTAAAACAAGTATCAACAGCAGGCACGAAATTGATCTAGAAAGTAATTCAGCAACATTTTCTCCACTGATAATGAGAAATCAACACCACAGCTTATACAATACAGCTCCACAACTCCGTGTCGGCGTCTTTGATCTGGCGGTCGAGAACCAAGCAAGACGGAATGGTGCTATCTCTGTTAGATTCGAGGGAAAAGTCGGGCCCGGATTAAACAATTTTTACTTTCCTATCTGTATACAGATATAAGGAAAGTATAGGAATCATGATTTTTTTCGACCTCGAGTTTTCGACGGATTTTTACGTTTTGAGGTCCCCTGAATCCGTTTTGACTATTTTCGCGATGATGTCTGTGTGTGTGTGTGTGTGTGTGTGTGTGTGTGTGTGTGTGTGTGTGTGTGTGTGTGTGTGTGTGTGTGTGTGTGTGTGTGTGTGTGTGTGTCTGTGTGTGTGTGTGTCTGTATAACGCATAACTCATGAACCGATACACGGAAAAACACCAAATTTCAAACTTAAGCTTTGTTCCAGGCCTAATGAGCTGATTAGATTTTGGGCAGAGTCGGAACATCTGGGGGGGTACTTTATAGGTGGTCATTTTTATATTTTATGGAATATATCTGTTATTTACGTTTGGGGAAGAAAATTCTTCAAATGAAAATTACTTCTTATTTTATTGTCTATAATTTTTGTTATATACAAAATTTTCCTAAAATGGTCCGTATTCGCGAAATTTGACAAAATGTAAAAAAATATTTTTTTTTATAAAAATTGTTTAAACAAAAGTAGTTTGTAATATAATTCTCTATAATTTTAATCCTACAGATAATTTCTCTAAAATGGACCGTATTCGAGATATTTGAGAAAATGTGTAAATTTCGAAATTTGAAGAAAACTCAAAAACGGATAAAAAAAAAACATTAAATTTTAAACTTAAGTTTTATTTCGGCCTGACGTGAAATGATTAGATTTTGGACAAAGTCGGAACATCTGGGGGGGTACTTTATGGGAGGCCGTTTTTATATTTTATGGAATATATCTGTTAATTATGTTTGGAGAAAAAAATTGTTCAAATAAAAGTTACTTCTAATATTATTATCTATAATTTTTGCTTTATGTAAAAATTTCCTGAAATGGTCCGTATTCGAAAAATTTGACAAAATGTGCAAAATTCTGATTTTTATGAAAATTGTTGAAATAAAAGTTGTTTGCGATATCGATCTCTATAATATTTGTTCATACATGATTTTATTAAAATGGACCGTAATGGAAAAATTATAGGAAAAGTGCTAAATTTAAATTTTTCATTATTTTCATTTTCAATGAATATCTATAGAAAAATGTTTCGCGGTAGATGTATGTGGACAATGTATATATTTAGTTTATCCTCTAAACATTTATAGAGATGCTGCAATAGGTTGTACAAAATAACCGGAAAAAGCCTGTAATAACTAGATAGGAAAGTCATGTGTTGGACACATCAGATTTTTTTATTATTGAAAAAATTGAAAACCTTGGCGTAATAAGGTTGGTCACATGCCATATTAAGTAAGTTTTGGGAAATTACATTTTTAATTTGTTTTAAATCTTTCAAATATAATTAAAAAAATTATTTAAATATAAATATTACGAAAAATAGCACATCTTTCGGATTAGAGGTAAAATAATTTATATATGGCTAGTAAAATCCTCGTTAACAAATGTTTTGAGCTAAAACAGTCACTTCACGAGAAATTGTGGCTTGGATCCATTTTACACCAAGGGCTTCAATTGTTAAAGAATTGTGTCACGCTCGTGGATGCAAATCAAGTGGTACCCCCCGTGTCTCTGGCAAGTGTTACTCTTCGCGCAAAGGGTTTATACCTAGATAAACGAATGCTTCGACTGAGGTCTGGGAACTCTATGGTATTTTGGAATTATAAAGAATGTGTGCTTTTGTT